TTAGACCTAGAGAGGAAAGGTTTTCCTTTGCAACCCTGCCCACCCTACCCATATCTAGGTATTTTAGGTGTTTGCAGGCATGTTAAATTCATCTTTCTTTTCTTCGTGCATTAGTTAATGGCCATATGGCTTACAATTTTTGCATGAACAAGGTGGTGCTAGTCGGCGGAAGAAGGTCATTGTTCTTCTTCTCAACCCCCTCAAAAACGGTTGGGTCTTTATTATGGCCTTCTTTGCGATTGGCGCACCGACAGCCCAAAATAAATGGCCCAAATGATGAGAGAACGCCACCTTCAGTCTTATGATTGATAATTGGTAAAATATTCTGAGGACCATCTTACGCTTATTTGCTAACGGTTTTTTGTTTGGTAACCTGGAACAATTATTAAACTTCATAGCATGCGGTTATAAAATGGATTGGGTCGAAGCTAAGAAAAAAATGACTTTTTTTAGGTTATGAAAGGTTTATAGAGACTTTTCTGAAATTTTTTATTTTTCATAGACCAAGGTTCAGTTAATTTGCCCGGCATTAATTGTAGAGTTCACTTAAATTTTTGCCAGTTAGCAAAAAAGTAAGGAGTGATTCAGTAACAAACTCGGCGTTAACTTTCTCTTCTTCTCAAGCCATAGCATAAGATAATGCGATGCCAATGATACTTCAACGGGGTTTGCTGCATCGTCCTAAAGATTCGTTTACCGAATAATCTAGTTTTTTGCTTGCGCTGGACTGTTTAGATATTGCCTCATGGAATGAAAAATTGACATAAAAAGGATGTCAATAAAATGGCAAGAATTAGCCAAATTGCACATAATAGACATGGACAAATAAACTTCGAGTCGCAAGTGGTTCTCAGAAAGGAAGGCAAAGTTGATGGACTGGTCACTGATTTCTTGGAATGGAAATTAAAGAAATGTAACTTCTGGTAGCATTTGATTGAAATGGTCTTCGAAATGATAAACCTAAAAGTTTTGTGAAAAATATAGTTAGTAAGCACGTATTAAGTCTAAAATACAGACAGCAAACCAATTTAGCGGATGATTACACAAAAATTAAAGGGAACCTTCTTGCTATAATTTAGCTATAATATCATGATTAAGATATCAAATTTTCGCATATAGAAATGATTCGCTTTGGCTTTATTTGTCGCTAAGCAAATTTTTCCATTTTGAATTTTTGATAGAAACTTGTACAATCCAATAGACGTTCAATGTATTCAGCATGTGAGCCACAACTTCTAAAAATCGAATCAGTGCACCTTCTTTTCTAGTTTGCTATTTTTAGGTCTGCCATCTTTATTTTAGGTTTCAGTAAAGAAAAGGCTTCCTCATACCTCAGATATTCTGTAATTTAAACTTACTATCCTTCATGCATCTGAGGTTAATTTTCTTATAATTTTTAACTTTGTTTCTTTGAGAAAGTCTCTTGTGCAAAGTTACTGAAATCCAAATCCAACAGACAGAATTTTTCTTATTTAATGTTAAATTTCAATTAGTGTACCCAGCGCTCATTTGTAATCAACAGCTCAACTTTGCTATTAATGCTACATATGTTATGTTGCTTAGTAATTGATCGATTTTGATGAGATGCTCACTTGACCACGCCCTAATTTTCAGACCACACACACCTGGGCCCCTCCAGTTATTTGTGGCCGGTTAAAAATTCTGAGCCAGTCCGCCACTGACCATGCGCGTTTTTGTTACTTCCTCAAAAGCACAATGACATTGACCTATGAGCTTTACGAGAACCTTTCACGTGTATATATTGTTCCTGTAAGAGGCTGACTCGTCCTCGTGGATCAGCCAAAGTGCTCTTAACTCAGCACATATCACATGCTAACCTATTTGTCGTCAACAAATAAGATATCCATCTCATCTTCACTTTGTTCTTTCTTTCATCTTTCGAGTTCTCTATGGGCTGAACTGATGCTTCTATTGGCATTTCATAATTTCTCTCACTTGTTTCTTTCTAACGTTTCATTGCTTTCCATTTGAACGTCTCGATTTTTAATTCAATCGCTCAGAATTTGTAATCCCCTCGTTGCGATTGGCGATCGAAAATATGGCGAACTGTCAAAGCTTTCAATTAATTTTCCTCCATGGTTTAGAAAATGAAATAAAAAGAACGTCTTCTTAATTAGAGCTTATGACATTCTTGCCTACTCTTCAGTTTCATTTATTGGGCTGACATCAAAATATTCGATTTTTGTATCTTTCATGGTTGCGTTCCAGGTAATTCAAGATAGAAATAATATGCAGAAAGTATTTTATTTCTTTACTCACCGAAATATTTTCTTTCCATCGAAGATTCTCAAGTTTTCATTAGAATTTACTCCGAAATTTAAAAAATATGACCACAAATTTTTTCCACCGAAAATTAATCCACCGAAATTTTTGGGACCAATTTTTTGGTAATTAATGTAATAGATTTTTATTACTATGCGCTGCAGTAGAGTTTCCATTTAGCTAGTGTTACCCGTTACACGATGGAACCTATCTAATATTGTATGCACATTTTTGGGTAGGGTTTTTCGAAAATCTATAAATTTAAGGGTACATCTTCATATTTCAAGATGGCATACCCCCTCCCTCTGTTTATTGAAGTTAATCCCCCCCGGACAAACAGTCTACGATCGCCACCGTTGATTGGTACGCCAACACAGCCAAAATGCACCAACACACCCAAAATGTATTGGAAGCAATCAAATCAATTAAAATAAAATCAATTCAAAACATCCATCATTAAAGTGCTGATGTCCATATGCTGCATTAGTGCAGAATGTAAATGCTGACAGTAGAATCAGAAAATGAAAATGCCTGCATCTAGAGAAGAGTTCTAGTGGCATTTATCCCCATAAGGAAATTTATACCCAAGTCGTTCAGCGCTTCTGACCAAGATTGCAATAAAAGAGCATTTAATCATTCGCTGAATAAAGAAATCAGCACGATGAGCAATCTGGTCCAAGCTCTTCTTCTTGGTTTATGATTTTTCCCGACAAAGTAGAGTTTGTCAAAGATTGCGGGTGTCACACACTACAACCCCCTATATTTGCGCCCTATTGGTGTCACATCCCAATACCGTTGGTGCAAGCGCGTTGTTTTTTGCGGCAAATTGATCAACAAAGTATTAATCTGTATTGTTTTGCCTGGAACTGAATTGTTGAATGAAAAAAATAGCCTTCTAACACCTCCAATTGAACATCACTAAATAGCGCTCTATGACCCTGTTTACACACGGATTTTGTGATCGATCCCAAACGAGATCGATCCTAAACTGGGTCGGTCCTATTTTCCAATCACCTTCAGTCAACTGTCGGGACCGTTTTGACAGGTCCTAAAAATAAATTAAGTGACGTATTCTGCATTGTAAAGAAGCTCAGATAAAATCTAGATGGAAACCGCATGGTTTTGTGACTTCGCAAACACATGGCCACAAGCTTCTATAGAGTAGCAGTTGCTTACGGTTAATTTAGTTTTGATTTATATACGGTTGTAAAGTTGCTTACACTAAAGGCGAAATTCGTTTCATTTGTACAAGTCTCTGTCCACCATGGAATCCATGGTGCAAAACTCGAAGATGAGGCCCCTGCTAATATTTTTTCAGGAATCCTTTTGTGATGTTTGCTTGATTTCATTCTTAAAATGGAATTCGTTATTTTGGGTCCACTAGACTTATATCAAACGTATGTTATCAAACGTTTCATGCAAAACATAATATGCTAATTGCTAAATTGAGAGCGTGTGGTTTGCAAACTACCTAGTAAATTAGCTCGGCGTATAGTGTTTGGCGAAAAGCAAAAGCTGGTGTTCCCCAAGGCTCTATGCTTGAACCGTTTTTATTCAAAGTTTCCCTAGATGATTTCATCTCACTATCAAGTAGCTGGAGGTATGTAACTTTAGCGACAACAATGCAATTTTCTCTTGTCATAATTCTTGTCAAGTTGTTGCCGCTGATCCCAAGAGTGATATCTGATATGTCAGAATCGATTTTCTCCCAAAGTCACAGTTGCCTGATGATCCAGTCAACATAAAACTCGGAGTATCAGCTTAGGACCGTCCTGTTCTGTTTGTTTTAAACCATACAAAAGACAAGCTCAGATTGTCAGAAAACTAAGAAAAAATGGTGTGATACCAACCGTAGCCTTAATGCACTGGGCGTTGTCCCACAGTCTTGTGCCGACCGAGATCTGGGGGCCGGTGTGTATTTGAAGTAGTATGCCCGCATTTAAGGGGGGTGTATCAGCATAGGCGTTCTATACTGTTTATTCGCTTTCATATAGAGTGTCTCATGTATAAATATTTACATGCAACTGCACAAAAATACACATGCATATACACACAAATATACACACACGCATTCAGGTATATATGTTGTATTATGTAATTATGAGTCCCTGCTAGCTCCTCAGCTAACCCACCAGGCAGAGCATTTCGGGGCTTATGATCAGTATGCTCCTTTGCTCCTGGGTGCCCCCTAACAGTGACGGCAGTTTGTTCAATGCGGCACTGTGAAATCCGAATCTCGAGTTGCTAATGATGGAGTACCCCAAGGCTCAATTCTTGGACCTTTGTTATTTTTGATCTATATAAATTTTTTGACAAAGAGTGTAAAAGATTGTAACATCCAAATATATGCTGATGATACAGTGATATCCTTTTCTCACAAAAAATAAACTTCATAGAAGAGATTTTAACTGCTGAGATGACAAACTTGGCTAAATGGCTAGACCGTAACAGATTGACGTTTGGAACCGCAAAAAGACTTTACTTACAAAGCAATTTGAGAGTCTCATGCAAAGAATATCTCATTAATTTTGTAAGTAGATTTAAGTATTTGGGAGTGACAATGGATCCCTCACTTAACATGAATGACCATCTTCAAAAGACTCTAAAGAACGTGGCTATTTGATTAAGACATTCGCTATCAACTTTTGAAGCTGAGTCAGTCTACAAAGCTATTGTTCCCCCATAAATATTATATTGTTCAACTCCTGTCCTCGTAGTGTCTGACACGATGGCGAACAAATATGAACGATTGCAAAGGAGCGCAATTAAGATCATCCACAACCAGCCAAAGGGCAAAAAAGAATGTAGGCTCATGAGCATTCAAGATCATCGAATGCAGAGATACAGATCTTTAAATCACGAGAGGAAGATCATCCGCCTTCCAAAGGTCAGGACGGAGGCTGCAAAAAAGTCATTTCGTTTCCAAGGCCCTTCTTGCTTCAACGACATCCCAATTGACATTCGATTGTTCAATTCAAGCATCGATTAAAAAACATTTCCTCAGCAACTAGTTCACTTCAGATCCACGTAAAAAGGATTTTTACCCTTTATTACTTTCGTTTTTATTTTTAACTTGTAATTACTTTTCATTTTTAACCATGTAAATATTTTTATTTAGAACAGGGCCCTTATTGATAACAGTGCCTTGGCATTGAAAAGGTTATACCCTGTATAAATATTTCTATTATTATTATTATTATTATTATTATTATTATTATTATTCTTATTATCTTCAACTTCACCATCAAATACCTGAACAATACTCTCCCTACGCGCAAAAATCTAAGCCTTTGAAACCTAATCCAATCATCTGATTGCGAATTCTGCCTTCTTCCTGAAACTCTACTCCATGTCGTTGCAGGTTGCAAAGTTTATCTCGAACAAGGTCGTTATACCTGGCGTCATAATTCTGCTCTAAATTTTCTTGCAACCTCCTTGAAAGCAATAGAGGGATCCTCTCTTTTTGCCGATATACCTTGCTTCTCCTCACCATCCATCATAACAGGAGACAATCTGCCCCCAGATCTACTTCTGCATACAAAGGAAAACATTCTTTATGTTTTGGAACTAACGATAGGATTTGAAACTAACCTTAACTGCAATGCAGAAAGGAAACGTTTAAAATATGCTCGCCTTGTCTCAGATCTAAGACCCAAGGTTCAAATCTGTCATATTTGTAAATCTCTCCATCAGCTCTCTTGGCATCTTCAGCGACTCATGCAGCTCATTCCCTGAAATGTGTGACTCTCTCTCCATCGATCAGCAACAAAAACGGTATCTCATTTCTAAACTTTCCAACATTGCCATCCGTACTACGTAGTACATATTTTGTTGCAAAAATAAGCCATGGACAAATCCGGAATTACATCCTTTTTAACTTTAGTTGTTTTATTTTTTTTCTCAGTTTTTCCTTTTATCTTACGATTGTTATAGTTTTTCTTGTAAAACCAGGCTAGCCAATTGCAAATTACCTTGTAATAGTGAGATTTGTAATTGTAGTTTAAGTTGAATTGAAAATGAAATGAAATTATTATTATTATTATTAGGGTGTGGCATCGGTGTATTTTGCAATGCCATATAATGCTCAAAATTTAGTATGAGTTAACCAGTCCCTAAGATTATTGTGCCTTTGTAAGGCTAGAATGGGGGTTTGTGACCATATGTTTTGTAATTCTTTATCCTTTGTAATAATATTCCAGTGTTTTTTGCGAATTTTACGGATGTGAATGGTGCGGTTGTCATATGGTATAAGAAGGGTAAAACAGAGCCTTTTGGTGTGAAGAAACTGTCGTTATTTGTTTGTTTCGATTCGAGTAGTTGCGACTGCGATAGTGTGATGACCTTGTTGAATTGTTCACTTATCATTATCCCTTATTTCTGATATCCCCTTATGATGAGGTTGTTTTTTAATTCTTGTTATTTTGGATATAGCTCTTCGTCACTGGTAATAACTAAAGAGAACATGAGCATGTAAACATGAAAACAAAGTACATGTCTCATTACGTAAGACGTTTCGCTTTCGCTTCATTAGTAATCAATATATTTATATATATTTCTCTTGATGTGTTTGCGTTGCATCCCAAAGTTGAGAATATCTTATCTGACATGACTGCTCTTTATTTTCAGCGGTTAATTACTTAATATATGCGCTGCCAGCTGTTCATAAGATATCCTTGATTCATGCTTCGCCTCTTCGTGATAATTCGTGATAAATACTCGCTGGGTAAAAACATGACCTTATTAATAATCTGCGCAAGTCGACTCTACTCTTAAAATAATCATATTTGTACAAATTTTGCTTCATGATAACCACTGATCTGTGCGATAGATTCTGAGCATGTCAATTCTATTCTTGAAATAATACTTTTTGTACAAAATTTGCTTCATGATAACAACTGATCTATGTGATAGATCACGTCGTGTTAGTTAGCTAATATAAACTGTCAGGACCGAAAAATGCCAGATAATTTTGTCATGATCATGCCACTCCTTGTTGAAAATAATGTCTTTTGTGAAGTCTCCTTCAACCTTGTCTATCTTGGTTTTTCTGACGCTACAATGGCAAGATTCTGCAAATCGAGAATCATATTTTACTGTAGTCTGTGGCTAAAGACGTTTCTTAATATCTGTCATGATCAGTCTTACATAAGTCGTCGTTGGCTTTGCTCATTCACAGTGGACCAATGTAAAAGTTAAATTCAATGCTGAAATCATACAAATGACGGTTGCCCTTGGCAAATAAACGATAAACAAGCCTGCGCGAAGCGAAATAACTCAAAGAGGTCTCCAGAGGGCAATATTGATCTGCAATAATTAACAAACCACGTGTAGACAACTTTGGGATCAAACCCTTTCATGGTGGCTGAATTAGTGGCCTTTCTAAAAAACTTTACTGACCATCTCCTTTATTATTAATCATTTACCTGTCCCAGAGTTTTTTTAACTTTGAAATCATGAAAGGAAATCGTAGTCTTTAACTATTTTACTGGTGCTTCGAGAGAATATTGTACCCTATACCTGTTATCCACTGTTCAGTTTCTGAAAAAAATCAATGATCCTTGAGAGACGTTCAGATCTTCATTGTAATAAACAAGACGTTCAGCTGCTGAGGTGGCGAGGCTGTTCATGCTAGTAAACTGTCAATTTTGATGGCAGGACTAAAGCATTTTGTAAAATTTCTAATGTGCACTCTTAATTAGGCTCTGATAATGTGGTATTTCACATTTTATCCGATTTCGAATGTTAGAAATTTGAGTATCGACGCAGACACATTGAGACTTGTATCATTTTAATGTTTCCTCTACCTTTTGCAGCCTTGTCAAAAACATGAATGTTTCTCAATACCAAGTTGCCTACATATTTCTTGATTTATAACTGTGTCTCAGTCAAGAGATTGAGCGCTAGCCCTTTTAACGCTATGATGAAGTCGAAAACAAGAAAAATCGGTTAAAAGCGAATCGTTTTCTTCTTAGCGTTCTTTGATTACGGGGACAGTTTATTTAAGAATTATATTGTATTAAGCTATTTTAGAAAGTTGCCGAGCAATGAACTAATGCACAATGCTTGCATCTCTTTTTGACCCTCATGCAAGGGTAGCCATCGGCTCAAGGATGATGAATAAATTTTTGACTTATTTTCGTTATACGTAGAATTGATAAGTCGTAGTTTTTGAGTAAACTTTATAAGACTTTTTTTAAATAACAGCAAACGTACCGCGAACCTGCACATTGTGTATTCAAGAAAAAAACCGCCAAAACTACGAGGGTCCTGTAACTATAACTGCTATAAACTACAATAAAGTGTTTCAATCAAAGAAAAATATAATGATTAGGTAAGGCTGTTTAGAAGCATAAATTAATTTTAGCTGTCCTTATAAAATTGTTTTAGTTTATGTTCAAAAAGAAGAAATAGGTCCCACTGGCGAAGGCTACTCGGAAGTTCATTGAACACTGGCATTTGCGCTGCATATTTGTTGTTTTGAGTGTTCTGATTATGATTCAAGAGTTTAAAACATGTGTTCATAACTTCTATAGATGTTCTCTTTAGGCATCTAAAGTCCAGGAGACAAGCCTTGCTGCTCTCGATCGACATAAGTTTGCAATCTTTTTGTTGTTTTCCATAAATAATTTCTAAAGCTCTGTTCTAAAGTAATTCAAATCCTCTACAGTTTGTCTCAGCTACGTAGCTACTCAGCTACTCGCCAGTTTGTTATTTCATTTAATTTGATGAACAAAAACATCCTTAAATTGGGGCCTTTCTTCGAGTACAGGCCAATCTGTTCGCATTGATGCTAGTACTGCCAGTCTATATATTGGAGTCCTGTTCTGGCTGATGTCGTATTTTCCCTCAACATAAGTTGTACTGCAACAATCCTTCTTTGTCTGATGTAATCACAAGCTAACCTTTCATGACAGTTATCATTCAAGCCTTATATGTTTTCCTCTATTGTAAGCAACATTTTATAAATCATCTATGTTTTGAAGATTTTCGTACCCATTATATACGTCTTGTGAATTGCCTACCGCATTCATTTGCAGAAATGAGCAGTAGAATTCAAGTTTAAAACATTAAGTTGACATTGTCGAAAACATTACTTTTACTCTTTGGCTTTTTTCTAAATTCGAAGCGCCATCTGGCGACCGACGATTGTTTTGTTTGGTGTCCAGAAAAATTACACACCGCCATATTCAAAATTTTAAGGGCGTAAATTTGATCATCAATTCTTCAGCTCAGTTTTGTAAATTTCAGTAAAAGCTTAATCACTTCAATATAATTTCAGCAATTAGTAGATCATTTTCACCAAACCAAAACTTTAGCCCTTGCAAGCAACAACTTAAAAACTTTTATTGCAGCAATATGGCATTTCTTTCGTTGAACGATGTCGATTTGTGAGTATTTAACACCTTGCAATTTTGTGTTTGCAGCTGTAGGCTCATGTGAATGGATACAAGATATTGCGAGTTATAACATAATTCATTCGTATACTCAAATCATTGCTAATTCTAAATACTCTGATTTAACAATAAAAATACATCTTTAAGCTGCTTTTTCTGTGATACCCTACAAAGTAACTTGTGTCGCCAAAGTTTTCGATTTCCAACAAACGAAAGGCAATTTCAAAATAGTCTATGTGTGTTCGTTAAAAGATGCAGAATAATATTACTTCTATTATTTTCTAAGTCTACTCTTTTAACCTAATGCGGCTCGAAAAAGATGCTCAGTAATAATCTAACTGATTATAAGTTATTAAATATAATATTTACAATATCATACAAATAAAACTAATATCATTATCTCTTTTTTTCTAGCAAACTGCAAGTGATCATAAATTTATGTATCATAATGTCTAAATTTTCAAGTATGCCAAAAGCATCAACGTCAGAGAATATTGATAAATCTAAGTTTCAATTTTTTCAAACTAGGCAGTTTGCTAGAAAAAGGTCGAGGTGAACTACTCTTTGCGTGTATTGTTCGATATACTACTGTCCGTTTGGATGCCTCGATTTTATATGCCTGTCCAAGTCTCTTCTTCTGACCAAAACTTTTCCACAAAATTGACATTTGTAAGGTGTGTCCCCAACAGCATGCAGCCGAATATGCTTTGCCATGTTGCTCGGATCCCCGAATCTTTTTTGACAGTACTTGCATCGAAGTGGTTTGTATCCCGTGTGTATTCTCATGTGGATTTTCAAACCGTATTTCCTAGTGTATAGTTTTCCACAAAGTTCACAAAGATATCCCTTATTGCCAACTTTCTTCGAGTTCAAGTCATTTACAATGTCCTCGTTGCATCCATTTTTTATTTTCTCTTGCAAAATCTGTTGGTTGTGAGATCCATTCAGGTTCATATCCGAAGTTTGGGGCGGACTTGCTGACTGCAACATACCCATTCCCATGCCCATATTCATGTTCTGTTCCTGGTTGAACATTTGCATCGTGTTCATATTAGTTCCACTAACGACGCCATTGCTGTTTCCGTATATGTTTCCACTGTTTTGGTAGTAATTGCTCTTCAAGTAAGGATTCATCCCAGGGCTGCTAACTCCTCTCGGCTGCAAAAACATTGCTGAATTTGCTAAAAGATCGATTTGCTGCTGCGGTGAAAAGTCCGAGTTGTTGCTTTGGTTGTATCGCATTCCAGTGTCGTTGTAAAGCGAATTTCGCATGTTTGATGAAGAAGATGTCAAGTCCGTTGTGCTGCTTGTGAACGCACTCGGTAAAGCCGAGCTATTAAACCCATAAGATACACTCGGATTTAACTGTCCTTGAGGGCTTGACTTGCTTTCTCTCGTGTAGAAACCTTCGGTTGCGAATCCTCCCAACGCCGACACATGACTGAGTGGCGTTAGGGGCGTTAACATGGAGCTTGGCGATGCCTTGTCGCTTCGTTTTGATGGTGACGGGTTTTCGAGATTCAGCGGTGGAAGTGATGTAGGCTTTTGCGTCGGAGAGTTGACGTTTACTGCTGACGTTCCCGATGTTGAAGAAGAAGGGCTGTGCTCACCGACGAAGTTGTGCTGCTCTTTGAATGGAAATTGCGGATCTTTGTAGGTAGGGCCACCGTGAAAACTCGGGAAAGCAATGTCGAGGTTGTTGATTGTTGAGCCTATATTCAGGCCGTTGATATTGCTCGTCACGGTTCCATTTGTTGTATTGCTGGGATATCCACTGATTAGGCTGTTCCACGTTGCACTGGACGTCGAATATCCTATATTACTATAAGAATTCGCATTGACACTTTGCGTTCCGTTCAGCAAATTGTTCAGTCCATTTAGAGTTCCCGGTGCAGAAACGGATGTTAAATCGAAAAATGTCTTCTCTTTGTCATCCTCTTCATCATCGAACAGAGCATCGTCGGGTCGAAGTAGCCGTCCTTCATTCTTCAGATATATCGAGTTGGTTGTCTTTGCAGGGCCTAATGCCGTCGACTCAGATGTGTGGTTGATGAACATTGTCATTTCTTTAGCTTGTACTGTGTTTGTTGAAATTGCTGGTGAAGATTGAGCTTGGTTTGGTGGAGTATTATCGTTCCTCTCCCCCTCTGGTATCAGGTCCTCACAGGTAGCCTCTGAAGGCTCTCCTATACCTTTGTCAGCTGGAGCAATTTTACGATCACTGGTTTTTTGCTGGTAGTCGAGATCTTTCTGCTCGCTTGCAAGATCGTCGAATGTGACTTGATGGTGGCGAGGGTACCCGTATATATATGAAGCTGGAAAATAAAGGCGACGATTAGAACAGGTGTATTAGAAAACTGGTACCACGTGCATCGGGTCAGCCTATCACGTTTCAGTGGCTGTACTAACGGCTGAGCATCGAAGCTCAACAAGAAAATTAACGCACGTGCGTTTTTCAACAGAAACCTTGTTGCGTTTTTTTCCTTTTAGAAAGCTTGTCTTCTTTTTAAATTATGTTAATAAAGATTCAGAAATTATTTTGTGTCATGCATGCTTTCATTAAATCTCACCTCATTTCGAACCAATATGATTTGCTTCGCATTTTTATCAGGCGATGTAAACCTTTAACAACAACTGGAAACTGACATTACCCATTGATGATTCGGATTATATTTTAAGGAATTGCGTAGCAAGAAAGTTTTGACTTCTTTAAATTAACGCCTACGCCTTAACCACTTGGAGGCATGGCAGCGGCCGTTTTTTGAAACAACGAACAGCTAACCAAGGAAGTGTTTTCTTTCCCCCGGGGCAGTGATTACGAAAGCGTGCCAGCGTTCTGTAATCTCAACAAAAAATCCATCTACTGAAAAGGTTAATAATCGATGCGGCCTTAAAGAAGTCTTAATTCGTTACAATAACGTGCTAGCAAGCCCAAGCATTCGCCGCCATTGACTTGGCAGTGTTCATACAGCCAATCTTGCCTTTTTGAAAATGTTTATAATGAGCTGGTTTTCTCTGTTCAATTTTAAGCCTTTTTCATGGATGCTTTTTATCATGCAGATAAAATCCCTCTACAGAGAAAAATAAGATTTATGCAGAACACACAAAGCAAGTATTTATTTCTTGATTCACGGTTAGTATATTCCTTGCAAGTTTTGCCATACGCATATTTTTCGTCAACACCTTGCTAATAAGAACGCAACCCTTGAAAATAGTAGAACATGAGAACGGGAAGACTTGGATTGAACCAATACTAAGAACATTCCATAGCTTGTAGTGACGTAAATATTATAGTTAATAGATGGAAATTGTGCGTGGATGTCATTCTGAAAGTTTACATAGAAAACAAAGCCTTTATTTGATTTAGAATTATAAATTTTTTCAAAGTTTTTTTTAATTTTACAACAATGTTTTAAGCTGACTGTTTCGAATAATTAAAAAACTCATTGAAGAGACCTCTCCGCTACCCGATACTCCGCACCTTTTTTATCTGAGGTTTCTTCACTATTACTTTAACCGCTTTATGCGTTTCTACAGTTTGCTTAACTTCTGGCTTGCTGAAACCTAGTCAGTCCAAAATTAACAATCACCGACATTTGCTACATGAACCAGCTAACTTATCTCATGTTTCCTGGTATCCTCAAATTTCTTAGCTCTCTTAGTTAGTTTTTCCATCTAAACTAATCTTCTTTGTTCTCCTCCAACGTAGATTACATATTAGTTCTAAAATAACTGCATTTCATGGAGGGGCAGATCTCTATTAAATCTCATACACCATAGGTGGAAATCCTCTTGTTTTATCTGAACATTTTTCTAACATGGTGTTTTAGACTTTGCAGCGGTTGAACTTCCGGTGTCATCATTTTCAATTTGAAACTTCTCACAAACTAAAAGAGGTTGCAGCCTGCCTCGTAAGCGGTTAGGAAATTCACATGGGTCAGGTAGGACAAGCAATACGAGAAAGAGTCATTTACAACCCTCCCCCCCCCCCATCCCAAAAAAGTGATTCCCGTCTCTTTTTTTCCTTTATCATCCTTTATTTGCCGACAAGTTTGAAATTTCAAGGAGCAGGCACCCCTAGATGGCAATATCTTCTCGTTACTGTGATCAGATTTTTCAAGGGGTCTCACGACTTTGTTTAAAACTTGTATTTCACTGTACCTGAGCCTCAGCTTGTTCTTTATTTGTTGTCTTGTGTTCAAACTTTGAGGCTTGTGTTTTATAGAATTGTTCTTAGTAAAAATAATGTAATTCTGTTTCCCTGCCATTTCATGGCTCAAAAGAGTTTTTCTTTAGTCTGGTGGCAATGAATAAGCAAGCTATTTGTTTGTTGTGGGAAGTTTGAAATATAATTTTAAATGAACACTGATCATAGATAAAAAGAAACAATGTTTTGCAACGGTTGAACAAGTCTCTTCCTTCTTTTCTTTTCAAAGCAGTTTAGTAGGTTCCTCTTGGATAACCCGGAAACCAGAAACTGTCTCACTCGCAAGCCTTTTTCTTGACTGCCGATCATGTCTTATCCACATATTAAAAATAACTGTCATAAAGTGTTCAATGCCGTTTAAACAGAGTCGTACACGCTTTTGGTTTGGTGTTTAGAACAGGACGATTTTCAGGTTGCTACTCCTAGTTTGACGCCTAATGCTGTTATCAGACAACGGAGAGACTTAGCCGACTATATAGAGAATAAGCATAAGTGATACAGTGAATGTAAGAGCTTGATAGCCCGAGGGACAAAGACACTGTGAAAAATGACTAGGGATCTACTTATCTACTTTTAAAATCATCCGTTATAAGTTGTACTAGTTTTTCACTTTAATATCAGATTATAATTATGCATGCATCAGTATTTGTGGCACACAGCTGTGCACCCCGTTTCTATGTTGTTGAACAAAAGACCAGGGCAGTTTGTTTTGTTTGTTGATTAAAACTGAATTAAGTAAACAAAAGAGCGCTAGGTCGTTAATTTACCACAGGTGGGAATAGAATCAAAACGGCCAAACGGTGTTGTTTGGTTTTCCTCTGGCTTTTCCAAAAGCTGTCCGTCTATTTAGAGTTAGACAACCTGAAGATACTTCTAAGAAGCTTTGGCTATTTAAAGATTTTTTCATGTATTCAATTAAATTTTTGTATGGCTTGTTTGCCCACCGTAAAAGGCATGTAACTCAAGAAACATTTTCTCACTTTATAGAAATCCCTGTTTAGCACACATTTTGATATCTGGAGCTCACAATAATTCATAAATAATTAGATTTCTCATAAAACTTCATGTCTCAATTCGGAACCGTAGTCTCAGTCCAAACGCATTGCTTCAAGTAATATGTTACTACGTCACTAAATTGGTAACCACATGTTACATTTCGCTTGCCCAGTATTTCAAGGAAGCGATTGCTGGTTCCTACTGGTTGTCTCTGGTTGCTTGTAGACTTTTATAAGAAGTGCCAAACTGCCACATTGATGGTGCATGGATGGAACGATTATAATTGAAACAATATGTAGACTGACCTTAGTACATTTGCCCTGCTGTGCTTTTTTATTTCAGCTGTGATTTTTGCCTTATACTCTATTTTTGTGCTTTTCGCAAGTCATTTTTAAAATGAAAACATTTGTAATGGACCGGAAATATGTGCCATATCAAATTTAACAGCGAGAATTTTCTTAATAAATGCTTCCACTAACTTCAATGTCCCTGTTAGGTCAATTTTGTGAACATGCCTTATTGCCGCTTGTAGACGCTATTTTTTCCAACACAACAAGGACAGAAGTACCAAGCAAATGATACTAAGAATGTTTATCAAGTGAGCCGTTCTAAAGGGCCGAGATTGAATAGGTCTTTGGAAGGGGGAGGGTAGGGGCAAGGGGGTGGGGGGAAATACTGTCGAACAGGTAAATATTGAACTGGCCCTTATCGTCTTTCTTTTCCTCAACCGCAAATGAATTATACTATTTAACTTATAAAGTACAAATGGGGTGTCAAAAACTTTTAGCGGGGGACGATTTTCTAAAATATGTCGAAGCCTTACTTCAAGTTATCGAGTAAAGTTCTGATAAAATCGATGATGCCATTAAAAAATGTGTCACTACTCCACCTTCCCTGCCCTACCTTCGCAGGAATCATCTCTTCCTAGAGCCTCTTTCTACTGTACGATGAAGACTAGAGAATTAAGTTGTTATATCATCTATTTCAAATTTTCTTTTGCGAATTGATTTGGTATCTAGGCGCTAATAACGAGTCCTTAGCCAAAAATTGCAAATTATCCTACCAGCAAATTTGTTATTAACATTTCATTTTATTAATTCCAATTGTGCTAATTTTTTACACAAGATATAAACGGAATAAACAGACTTGTTGTTTTATAAAACTTTAGCCATATCTAGGAAAATGTGTTGCCTTTAATGATGTGCGGTTATTTGCGATGGAATGATCAATGCGTTTCGGATACAAAGAAAACTGGTACCAGTTAGAAGTATCGTGGAGTGCAGCTGATCCTAAAAAGGTCAATGGAGGAGCACATTACTTCAATAATAGCGGATAGGCAAACTGTCGAACAGTACCAGTTGATAGCGATCTGAAGCCAAAGTTCGCATGTGGCATGGAACCCGTTAACATCAACAACAAAAGAGCAATTGTTTTTTGTCCGACACAATTGTGCCGCTTGAACTGCTCTGAGAGAAATATGATGGCTTGAGATCAGTTTGGATATATGTATGGCCTTTGCAAGTGAACTTGCAGATGATTAACTTAAGCTAAAAAATTAATATCAGATAAGATACATCTATCTTGAGGGGATGTTTCATTAACTAGGCTAGAATCGTACTTAAGTCTGGAATTCCAAAAGAATTTGCATATAAGCCCATAGAAACTTGATGCGCCAACCTATAAGAAATTATAAGCCATCCAATTCAAGGGAAATTTATGTCGAATGTGCAAGGCCTAAGCAAGGAAAGTTTGCCACTTTCAAAATACTTTAAAGGGTCTAGGGAAGGGTAAGAGAGGGTTATTTGGGGGGAAAGGACTTATCGGAGATACTTTTTGCAAGTGCTCTCATCTTTCATTGGAAAATGTATTTATATTCTGATAGCTTTAGTGCACTGATCTTATAATGCTTTAACTTTTAAACGAAATTGTGAATTATGTATTAAATGGAAGCACCTAATAGTTTTCGCAAGTAAGCCGTGGATTATTTCTATTGTAGTTTTTCTCAAACAGTTGTCCAAATGCCTATCTTAAAATTTATTTCGCAACAGCAAATCAGTGTAAATTATGAACGTTACTAAACCAAGGCATGCATACGTCATTCATCTACTCTTAATTACTGGGCCCTTGGTAATTTATGTTTTTGTGAAATTTACTCAATCTTGTTTCACGCGTGTTAGTTATAAATCATAAGGAAGAGAGTCGTTTCACCTTTTGAGGTGATCTCACCTTTTGAGGTGATCTCTCCTCTTGTCCAGTGGTCTGAAGCTATTTTGGCTTGACTTTCGCTTTCGAAACCTATTATGTCCTCATCATATAAAGTTTGGCTGGTATTTTCCTTAAGATTAGATTGTCGAATAATTTCTTATGGTCAATACAAGACGCTGGGTTTTAGATGTCATAAAAGAAACAGCAGCTAAGTTGTTTCTACGAAGCAAAATCTATTCTGCCTTCAAATCTCTTGGTTCTCTCTATTAACCTTCTTTTTAAATTTTGAAAACCTATACTTTAAAATTGCTCATAAACATCAACAAATATTCCGGAATTAATTCCTATAATTATTCTGCTTCACCATACATTTCTCTGAATCTTTTGCTCTAGCATAAATTCTATTTGTAACTTTTGAAATATCATTATTCTGTTTAAAAAGCCAGATCAATGTTTAATTTGTTTAGAATGAGTGAATCTGAGAGTGAATTTCTTCTTGGAAAAATATATTTAGCTGCGTGGGTGCTAGGATACATACTCAAAAGGGGCTTGCTTTGGACAGGGTAAATATTCAGAGTTCCACGAAGATGTTTAAACGTCTCACTAAAGCGATGGCTATTGTCACGTTTAGACGATTTATGTTTATTAAAGTCTATTAAAATGCATAACACAATTTTACCGTTGATCTTACTGCTAAGGAGGAATTACAGCTTTTGAAAGTACACTCAGTTTTTTATAAGAAACAAATCTTGATGCTGTGTACTCCAGTTTCTTAATGTTCGTGACCTTTATTATCACATCAAGAGATTCGCTTCCGTTCTGATGCTGTATTTAGATATGGGTAGTATATTTTTATTCCTTGTGTCTTAAGTTCAACAGGGCAATCATGTACTTGGATATTACAAAATTTCGTTGTTCACGATTTTAATCATTTTAATCACGATTTTATTATTTCTTAATTTTTGCCTCGAGTACTGAAGTTTCTTAATTTTCTCTGACTGTCGAGTACTCGTTTCTTATAACCAGTTTCTTATAAAAAAACGAATGTATGCCTGAATATGTATACAAGGTATAACGGCTGATGTGGCTTGCAGAGTTGCAAAGATTTTAATGCCTGCGGTTCTGCAACAATGGTAAATTCTATTGTCGAAGGGCATCAGGTGCACTGGGTCCTCATGATGTCGTTGAATCGAAGCCGCTCAATTGAGCAACTCACAGCTGTGCGCCCGATGATTTTCTATCTGCGCGCGTGCGTTCATGCCTCACAGCTGAGCGGCTACGAAGGCGTCACTTCAAATACCCGCTCTTCCAATGTATTACTAAAAGTAAGGCAACTTTCACATGATTGTGAATGGTTAAACGAGGTTTGCTAAAAAAGGCAAAAGGAGACAACGCTAGAAGGACTAGTTGCTTCAAACTTTTGCTTGAGTAACTACGCTTTACAAAGCCGTTGCTTCTTCTCAACAGAAACATTTATCTAAATCTCTGCAAAACGTTGTTTATGCATTATTCTTGATTCCTGTTTGCTCTTCTATATTTGCTTGATGTGATTAAAAGTTTTTAGGGGTAGAAGTGGGCAACT